CCCCAAAACCCCAAAACCCCATAAAGCTTAACTTATAGTCTAAAGTGATTTATAAAATCAGGATTAGTAATACTCTATATTTTGACGATATCTTATATAATTTAAATCTAAACTAATTAATGAACAAGAGAAATATTCTTTCTAGATGGGAGGAATTGAAACATAAATTCAAATACATTGATCTATTTGCTTAGCCAGTCCAATTGACATTCAAGGGTGAAGATACTTACAAAACTATGATTGGGGCAGTATCATCTTTGATGTTAATAATGTTATTGCTTTCTTACGGAGTTTTTAAAGCTGTTTTTATGTTTAATCGCATGAATCCTTCAGTTCAGAAAGTATCATTACTAAGAGATATGTCTGACGGATTGATTTTTAAGCCATAGGATCTAGGGTTTGATTTTGCCTTTGGATTATCACAAAATTTAGAGCCAAGTATAGGCTATTTTACAGTTAGATAGCAAGTGATATTTGAAACAGATATGATTGATGATCAAGGTAAGATTGTTATTGAAAAATTAAAAAGAGATGTTAAATTCTCTAAGTGTTAAAGAAAGCATCTAAATCATACTAATTAAGCTGACGTTGTTGCAAATGGAATTTCCAATTTTTATTGTATTGAAGATAATACCTACTAATTTTCTGGAAATTATTATTAGAGAACCTTCGAGTATGTCGAGATCAAACTTTGGAAGTGCTAAAATTAATCTTCGCCAAATGCAATCAATAATAATTAAAAGGTTGTTTGCTAGGATAAAAAAATAATTGATCAGTTCTTCGACAACGATACTTTTAGTTTTGCCTATGTCAATACTTTTTTTGATTAAAATAATTTCAATGAAGAGAAATAGTTTAAAAAGTTCGTAGATGACTCTCTTTTCTTCCATTTAGAATCTCAGAGAATAAAGAAAGCTAATTTTTACATTTAACTTTAAGAGGCAAATATGTAGGATGACTATATTCAGTTTGGCTAGGCTCATAATTACAAATTTTTTCATGTAGAAAATATTAGAACCTATGATGATAGTTACACTGAGGAAGATGGGAATGTAGTAACAGTCTATCTAAGATTAGATAATCACTATGATGTCTATTAGCGAAAGATATATAGTATTCTAGAATTATTAGCTGAGTTAGGAGGTTTATATAGATCATTATTTACTATCGGGCTCTTATTCATTGGACTTATTGCTTAGAAACTATTTCTCATAGATATTATGCATAGCACTTACCAAGTTAGAAAAATACTCAATCATGATGATGAAAATTGTAAGCATGGTTTAATCTTTGATCGAAAGAAAGGATTTGTTCTTAAGCCATCAAGTCCTAAGAAAAATAATAATGAATTTTAGAAATAAAAAGTTGACTCAAGTGTCTTCAAATCACCAAAGGCAGGAAATAAAGTTGACTTAAGTCTTAAATTTAAATATTAAAGTCCAAAAGCTGCTGCAGACCTTGACTTTGATGACAATGTATAGCAGACTGAGAGAATTTAAACTGATAGAGATGAGCTTGGTGTGTTCTAAACTAACCATTAAGATGTAAACTTATAATTCTAATGTGACGAAAAATGTGTAAATGATTATACTGCCAATTTAAAGCATGGTTTCTGTATAATAGTATTGTATTAAAGGTCGAGAAACCTAAAACAGTTAGAGCTTTAGATTTTTAAAAGAACTAAGATCTTAAGATGTGAAGGATTTGCTAAGATCATTCATTTATCGAATGAGATTTACTTACAGCTACAAATTACTGTTTATTTACATCTTAAGATGCTTCTGCTGCCGAGACTTAAGAAAATCTAAAAGTCACCACTCCTTCAAAATGCATTACTTATATTAAAAAGGTGAAGAGAAGTTAGGAATGGACTTAGATGTTGTTTAACTTGTCAAGACACTTAGGTAGTTTAAGCTTTTATCATAAGCAATCTTGAGTCAGCAACATAGGATGCTGCTTAGATTTTAGAGACAAAGTTTGATTGAAACATCATCAGATTCTTCTGATTCAGATGACAATCATTTAGATCCCTTGAGGCTAATAGAGAGTCCCAACCCTATAATAAGATTAGTGACCCTTGGCAAACTAAAACGAATGATGAAATCACTTAGGGGTAAAAAGATATAAAAAATTGAAAGAAATCTATTAAGGGGTGTATTCTAAAGAAAAATCAAAGACTATGAGGAGGATTAAAGATAGAGAAATAAATAAATGACACTTATACAAAAGCTTTATCAGTAAAATGATATACTAGATACTGAATAGAACTATTAAGATGAAGTTAGCAATCATATATTTCATTCTTAGAGTAATCTAGGGGAAAATGTTATTGAAGAATTTGAGGAAGATATTCCAGAGAAAAACTTTATAACCAAAGACTTTGTAAAATCATCGTAATTAAGGGCTTTTGAAAAATAGTATTGAAATTAAAAAACATATTGAAAATTTATTAATCATTTTATTATTACTATAAAATAATCATGGGGTTTTGGGGTTTTGGGGTTTTGGGGTTTTGGGG